AGGGGCCTTTTACGCGTCTCGACATCCACACTAGGCCTCGGATGGCTAGTCATGACCTCAGTTGGGTCCCAAGCTTGCACGTGCCCTTCGGGGACCTAGACTTCATCGTCACGGCGGAGGGAGAGTTGGCATTGGCTCCCGTTGCCTTCTAACCTCTCTACTCCACCTGCCTCGATGCAATCGTAGAGGCGCTTGAGGAACTATGGCTGCACACACCGGAGGCTCATGCCTCGGAAGCAACCAGCTCCTCGACTTTGACTATAGGAGGTTAGAGCGCCAACTCGGTGCCTTCCTGGGACCCCGGCTGTTCTGGGAGGACCTGTGCTACCTCACCTTCTTGTTTGCCAACATCATGGCATAGCTTGCCGGAGGGGAGCCAGTCTCTCTACAATACCTCATCCAGAGCACCCTGACAGAGCTCCCATTTGGTCTCCACAATGCCGCAGAGACTGACGGCCACCCTATGGCGCAACACACGCCTTCATCCCTTGCAAACAATGGGTTTGTGGGGATGACCGAATATGTCGTGGAGTCTTTCCATGACCTCCTCACAGGAGGATTGGAGTCGTCCTCTGGCTCTCCTCTCGTGAGTGCTTCATGATGGCTAGCCCCGAGGGACACGTCGAAAGCATCCATGAGGAGGAAGCTACCCCAACAACTGACCTCGACGATGAGGTCAAGGAGGTCACCAAAGAAGCACCCAACCCCAAGTGGTCGGCTGGGTCTTTTGAGCCAGTGGAGGGCGCCATGGAGGTCCACATAGACCCCGATAGCCTCGAGGGCAAGGTGGTGTGTGTTGGCACCACACTTTCCTCCAAATAGGAAAGCGCGCTCCTCGACTTCCTCCACGCCAACAAAAACATCTTTGCATGAAAACCCTCAGACATGTTGGGCATTCCGAGGGAAGTCACCAAGCATGCCATGAAGATCTGCCTAGGCTCCAAGCCGGTAAAGCAACACCTACGTTGCTTCGATGAGGGGAAACACAGGACCATCGATGAGGAGATCGTGAAGCTCTTGGTGGCCAGGTTCATCAAGGAAGTGTACCACCCTGAGTGGTTAGTCAATCCCGTCCTTGTACAAAAGAAGAGCAGGAAATGGAGAATGTATGTTGACTACACGGGCCTCAACAAGGCGTGCCCAAAGGATTTGTTTCCTTTACCACGCATTGACCAAGTAGTTGACTCTACCTCAGGGTGCGAAACCATTTATGTCCTTGATGCATACTCTATGTACTATCAAATTGCGATGGAAGAGTCTGACCAGCTCGCAACATCTTTCATCACCCCCTTTGGATCGTTCTACTATGTCATAATGCTATTCGGTCTGAAGAATGCTGGGGCTACGTACTAGCATTGTATGCTCGAGTGTTTCGGGGACCTCATCGGGCGGACCGTTGAGGCCTATGTGGACAACATCGTGGTCAAGTCCAAACGTGCTGACCAACTCGTAGCCGACCTTCGCAAAACTCCAAGCAAACGACATTAAGCTCAACCCTGAGAAGTGTGTTTTCGGGGTCCCGAGGGGTGTGTTGCTCGGTTTCATCATCTCCGAGCGTGGCATCGAAGCCAACCTAGAGAAGATCTTAGCCATCACAAGGATGGGCCCGATTCAGAACATGAAGGGGATACAACAAGTTATAGGGTGCCTCGTTGTGCTCAGCCGCTTCATCTCGCGCCTCGACAAATGAGGTCTACCCCTCTATCGGCTTCTGAAGAAGGCTGACCACTTTGAATGGATGTCCAAGGCCTAGGAGGCACTTGACATGGTCAAGCAGCTTCTGTCGATGGCCCCGATCTTGGTTCCTCTGATCGATGGAGAACCTCTTCTGCTCTACATTGCGGCCACCATGCAAGTGGTCAGCACTGCCCTGGTAGTGGAGCGAGAAGAAGAGGGGCACACCCTCAAAGTACAGCGCCCCCATGTACTTCATTAGCGAGGTCCTGTCTAATTCTAAGACCCACTACCCCCAAATCTAGAAGCTCCTGTACACCATCCTCATCGTCAAGAGGAAGCTACGCCACTACTTTGAGTCACATCCAATGATAGGCGTGATGTCCTTCCCCCTCACTGAGGTCATCCAAAACTAGGATGCTAGGGAAGAATCGTGAAGTGGGCGCTCGAGCTGATGGGTCAGGGCATTACATATGCCTCCTGGACGGCCATCAAGTCCCAGGTGTTGGCTGATTTTGTTGCAAAGTGGACCAAGGTCCAAATGCCACCAGCGGTCATCGACCAAGAGTACTGGACGATGTACTTCAATGGATCGCTGATGAAGAATGGCACCGGCATGGGGTTAGTATTCGTTTCGCCCCTCGGGGTATGCATGAGGTACATGGTTTGCCTCCATTTCCCCTCCTCCAACAATGTGGCCGAATATGAGGCACTCATCAATGGCCTGTGCATCGCCATCGAGTTGGGCATCTGACGCCTCGATGTTCGGGGCGACTCCCAGCTGGTCATCGACTAAGTCATGAAGGAGTCAAGTTGCCACGATGCCAAGATGGCTGCATATTGCCAAGAAGTCCGCCAGCTAGAGGACAAGTTCGATGGCCTCGAGCTCAACCACATTCCGAGGTGTCTCAATGAGGCAGCCGATGTGCTGGCGAAGGAGGCGTCCAGTTGAGAGCCAATGCCAATGGGTGTCTTTGCCAGCGATCAGCACAAGCCCTCGATTCGCTACGAGGGGTCAAAACAAGCCAGTGACGATCCACCCATCCTAGGCTCGGTGGCTGACCAACCGTCGGCTCCAATCAACCCTAAAGTCATGGAGCTCAAAGAGGACCCAGCGACAGAGCCCGACCCTCTAGTCTACTAGAGGACGCTCTACCTCGACTACCTCCTCGATGAGGTGCTGCCGATGGACAAGATGGAGGATCGATGGCTCGTGCGTTGTGCCAAGTCCTTTGTCCTTGTTGAGGGCAAACTCTAGAAGCAAAGCCACAACTGGATCCTGCAACATTACATCCTGATCAAACAGGGGAAGCGTTTGTTGAGCAGAATCCATGGTGGGTCTGTGGTCACCGTGCCACACCTAGAACCCTGGTCAGAAACATGTTCTGACAAGGCTTCTACTGACCACCATAGCCGACGCTGAGCAGGTGGTGCGCACCTATAAAGGGTGTCAGTACTATGCTCGACAGACTCACCTATAGGCCAAAGCGCTCTAGACGATCCTCATCACGTGGCTGTTCGCGGGCTGGGGGCTCGATCTTGTCGGATCTCTCAAAAGGACGCCCGAGGGCTACACCCACTTGCTTGTCACCATAGACAAGGTTACAAAGTGGATAGAGGCTCTACCGATCTCCGCGATCAAGTCTGAGCAAGCCGTGCTGTTCTTCCTCGACATCATCCATCACTTTGGAGTCCCGAACTCCATCATCACGGACAACGGCACGTAGTTCACCAGAAAGAAGTTCCTTTGATTCTACGATGAATACCACATCCATGTCGATTGGGCTGCCGTAGCGCACCCCCGCACGAATGGGCAGGTCAAGCGCATAAACGACATGGTTCTACAGGGCCTCAAGCTTAGGATTTTCAACCGGTTGAACAAGTTTGGTGGACGATGGGTCACCGAGCTCCCCATGGTGCTCTAGAGCCTGAGGACGACCCCAGCTAGGCCACCGGCTACACACCATTCTTCATGGTCTATGGTTCCAAGGCTGTCCTCCTGACCGACCTCGACTATGGAGCGCCAAGGGTTAGGGCGTATGACGAACAGGGAGCCATGGCATCCCTCGAGGATGCCAAGGACTAGCTAGATGAAGCGCATGACGTAGCCCTCCTCCGCTCGACCAAGTATCAGCAAGAGTTGCACTAGTACCATAGCCGTCGAGTGTGGGGTCGGGCCTTCAATGTCGGAGACCTAATTCTCCACCTCGTCTAGAGCAGCAAGGACCGCCACAAGCTCTCCCCACCATGGGATGGACCATACGTCATCATAGAGGTGCTCTGACCAGGCACCTACAAGTTCAAGACCATCGACGGCGAGGTCTTTGCCAATGCCTAGAACATCGAGCAGCTACGTCGCTTTTACCCTTAATGAAAGCACACTTTCTCTTATCAGTTTTGCTATCAAATTCCCCGACCTTTAGTGACACCCGACCCCAGCAACGGCGGGGGGTCGGGCCTCACTCTGGGGCTAATCAGAGCATATCTATCTGGTAGATAATCTCTACATCCGACCCTTTTTCACGATTACACTACTAGGGATGTGTACATCAATGATGCTCTTCTTTCGTCACTGAAGACTCCAAAATCATCACATATATTATTTTATGATGAACTTGTGACGATATGGTATTCGTCATTGAATGCGCGTCATATTTTACCTACCGTGACGAAACGTCTATTTTCGTCATAGATGTGCAATTGTTCTATGACGAAATGGCCGTCGTCATATAAGTGTATTCTTTCTATGACGATCTATTTTTGTCATTGATATAGCCCCTTTTTTGTCATGACTTGCCGTCTGTTAGGCGGCCAGACGACGTCTGCCACACTGGCAGATGACGTGTCTTGACCACATTGCAGGTGACGTGTCCGACCACGTGGCAGCTGACGTGGCCAGTGATGTGGATGGTCCACGTGTCCCCTTTTTATTGGGCCACAAGGCTTGCTGTGGTTCTCGTTTTCGTCACTAAAGTAAATAGAAATTCGTCACAGAATCAATTACTAAATCGTCACAGAAAGGTCAGATAATTCATCACAAGTGCACATGCTGATTTCATTACAGAATGCAAATAATACTAGAATGACCAAAAGCTTCCATAAATTAACAGATCCAGTATTCCAATGACCAACAACTTAATGAACAATTCTAAACTCGGTTCACATAACTCACTAGACATCACATTTGAACTACTAGTTTCATCTCAGTTCACATTAACATCACAGGAAATAATAAAAAGTTGCCAACCACCAGCAACATAAGTTACTACATAAACAAAATCACCAGCAGACCCCTTGCTTAATGAACCAGCAGCTACGAGCAGCGCTCATGTCGAAGAAGCATTGTTGATGGCCAAGATACGCTTGAGCAGCGCATTGTTCTCCTCCATTGCCTTGTTGTTTATCTCTGTCAGCTTCTTGTACTCCTCCATCTCCTTTTGTGTCCTCGCCAGCTTTTCCTCAGCTTCTTCACTTCTCTTCCTGAGTTCATCGATTTCACCTTGTACAGCAGCCGTACTTTGAAGATAGAAGAAGCACCTTAGTTGCCAGGGGTGTGTGGGAGGAGACAGTTCAGTTTGTCAAGGCAAGGAAATGTATATTATGCATTTTCGCTATGAGGGTGCTTCTGGCTTTCAAGCTGCAACCGATCAATCTGAATATTGATGCAGAGATTGTGGAAAGGTGATAAAAAACGATGCCTTCACAAACCTAATTGAATACATCCTGTCATATCCACCGCTTACAAATCTGTACAATAAATTTAGTAGAAATTAATGAAAACAATATATGGCCTACTGCAGAGATATTTGGTATATCTGCAAATAGATGGTGCTCTGAGATGACATCAACAAAAATGAATAATATATCTTGAATAAAATCGATGCTGCCATGTAACAAAATATAAGACTTAAGAGAGGATATGCTGACTGAAAGTGTGATTGAACACTATATTATAAAAGGTTTGACATGATGTTTAAATGACAGACGGACAATTCTTTAAATAAGATTTTAGGACATCTACGTAGGTCACAGCTACTGCAATAGAAATTAATGAAAACGGCAACAGAGCCATACTCAACAAAGTTCTGGTATCATTGATTACAAATTATGTAAAAAACAAATCAGAATAAGAAACATTTAGTACAGCTTAAAAGTTCAAAGAGATATAAATTTTTAATGCCACACATATTATTGTTGTTTGTCTACTAAGATGGAAACAATTCCAGTTAAGAAGATACACGGTTGAATCACAGCGGTAATAAATATTATTGTTGTTTGACTATTTATAAGTGATTAGACAAAGTGACGTGCTATACGGAGTATTGTTTACCGGAGTTCTGATAAAAAAATTACAGTGCAGCCGGCAGCGGTATTTCTCTTGAAGACCTAGTGATAGTCAGGAAGGAAATAATAATGAATCTATGGCAAAAACAATCGTAAAAAAAAAGAGACAGGAAGAAATGAAATTTGCTACTAACCTGATGAGCGACGACTCCGGATAAGATCCCATTTGCCAGCCTTTTCCTTCCTCTTTTGCTTGATTGTGTTGCTGAGAACCTACATGTCACCAGACACCAGTGATCAATCAATGCCACAAAATGTTCCTGCATCACAGTCAGCTGGAGAGAAGCCAAGAACAGTAATTCACCTTGGCACGATGTGTCTGATCACGATCCAGTAGATACGGAGGAAGAGCACCCTCTTGGACATCATCATCATCAACCTTCTGTCGTTTAGTTAATTCATCGTGCATTTTCAGGCTGCAAAAAAGCCAATTCAAGCAGAGACCCACGTAACTACAACAGCCCTTAGCACCAAGCAACTACAACAGCACAAGGCATGCAATCATCAACAACAGGGGCACATGAACAACAAAACCAAAAGGGCGTAAACTTATCAGATCAGAACCGTACATTGCGGGCATCCTTCGAGCGCCTGTGCACCTCGCGCGCCTCACGCTTGCGCTTGCGCTCCTCATGGTCCAGGCGCTTGCCATGGCGCTTCTGGTGAATAAATGGGAAGAGCGGTAAGATTGAGACATATGAGGGCTAGCTAGGGGCATGGAGAGGTCTCAGATTCGAGGAGGCGCGAGAAGAAGGAAGGGGCTTACCATGACGGCGGAACCTGAAGCTCGGGTTTTGGGTGGGGAGGAGGAACGAGAGCGAAGAGGGATATCGGGGCTTAGGGCACCAGTAGTGCGAGCGGTGGCGGCCTTCTCTTGGCGGGCGAGGCAGCGCCGGCCTCTGCAGGTGGAGGGAGCATGGCGAAGCTAGGAGGCAAGCAGCGCCTCCGGCCTCCTGTGGCTGCTTCTAGAGGAGTGCCCACCGTGCACTGCCGGAGAAGAGCGGGAGAGAAGAAAAGGGCGGCGGCGACGGGTGTGTGTGGGAAGAAATGAGAGAGGATGAGGGTTAGGGTTCTGAGGTGACCCTATTTTATACTTCCTTGGCGCATGGTAGCCGTTCGATCATGAATCAATGGCCAAAAATTATGGGCCAAGTACAGTAATGAGCCGATTTTAGGGTTTAGGCCTATTAATATATCTGGTGTTTTTATTTTGAATTTTTGAGAACTTTCATCTTTAATTTTCGGTTATTAAATGAATTCAAATGAAAAATCCGTAAAAAACTTGGATGTGATGGTTTTTTCCCTAAAAATTTCTAAAATCATGCTTCAGCATTTAAGCTTGATCAAACTTGGATGTGACAATGTTTTACATATTTTAAAATTTGAAATTTGAAATTTTACAAGTTCAAACCAAATTTTAAAACCCTAAATGATTTCAAATGTAAAAGTGATGAATACAAAAGTTGTTCAACTCGTCAAGATCTATAACTTTTATTTTGGTCATCCTGTCATTTGACAAAATTTGAACCTTTCAAATTTGAAATTTTAAAAAATGATAAGTTCGAACCAAAATTTGAGACCCAAATTGATATCAACATAAACAGTGATGAATACCAAAGTTGTTCAACTCATTAATATCTACAACTTTTATTTTAGTCAATTTGTCATTTGAGAAAATTTGAACCTTTCAAATTTGAAATTTTGAAAAACAACAAGTTCGAATCAAAATTTGAGACCCAAATTGATTTCAACATAAAAAGTGATGAATACCAAAGTTGTTCAACTCATGAATATCTACAACTTTTATTTTGATCATTTATTCATTTGAAAAATTCTTAGCACACATTGTTCACTAATCTTACACATGTCTCGTATAGTTTATAAAATCTTATGAGAGATGTGTCACATTTGTGAACAATGTCGTTACCACTTTGTCATATGAAGAAATGACCAATACAAAAGTTGTAGATCTTGATGAGTTATTCAACTTTGGTATTTATCACTTTTTCAGCTGAAATCATTTGGGGTACCAAAATCTTGTCTGAAGTTGCATTTTTTCGAAATTCAAAATTTAAATTGCTCAAACTTTTCATATGTATATATTGACAAAACCAACAAAATAAATTGATAGAGAATGATTTTATAAAATTTTAGGAAAAAAAATCATCAGATTTGGAGTTAGTATGAGGAAGAAAAACTAGTTACAAAGTTGACCCACAAATTAAAAAAAGAAATAACATTGTTCACTACGATCATGTAAAGATCATCTAGAACAGTGTGATTTCTCTTTTTAATATGTGGGTAAACTTTGTAACTAGTTGTTCTCCCTCATACTAACTCCAAATGTTATGGTTTTTTTCCTAAAAATTTCTAAAATCATGCCTCAGCATTTAGGTTTGATCAAACTTGGATGTGACAATGTTTTACATATTTTAAAATTTGAAATTTGAAATTTGACAAGTTCAAACCAAATTTTCAAACCCTAAATGATTTCATATGCAAAAGTGATGAATACAAAAGTTGTTCAAATAATTAAGATCTACAACTTTTATTTTGGTCATCTTGTCATTTGACAAAATTTGAACCTTTCAAATTTAAAATTTTAAAAAATAACAAGTTCAAACCAAAATTTGAGACCCAAAATGATTTCAACATAAAAAGTGATGAATACCAAAGTTGTTCAACTCATTAATATCTACAACTTTTATTTTGGTCATCTTGTTATTTGACAAAATTTGAACCTTTCAAATTGGAATTTTTGAAAAGCAACAAGTTCGAACCAAAATTTGAGACCCAAAATGGTTTCAACATAAAAAGTGATGAATACCAAAGTTGTTCAACTCATTAATATCTACAACTTTTATTTTAGTCATATTGTCATTTGACAAAATTTGAACCTTTCAAATTTGAAATTTTGAAAAACGACAAGTTCGAACCAAAATTTGAGACCCAAATTGATTTCAACATAAAAAGCGATGAATACGAAAGTTGTTCAACTCATGAATATCTACAACTTTTATTTTGATCATTTATTCATTTGATAAATTATTAGCACACATTGTTCACTAATCTTACACATGTCTCATATAGTTTATAAAACCTTATGAGAGATATGTCACATTTTTAAACAATGTCGTTACCACTTTGTCATATGAAGAAATGACCAATACAAAAGTTGTAGATCTTGATGAGTTATTCAACTTTGGTATTTATCACTTTTTCAGCTGAAATCATTTGGGGAACCAAAATCTTGTCTGAAGTTGCATTTTTTTGAAATTCAAAATTTAAATTGCTCAAATTTTTCATTTGTATATATTCACAAAACCAACAAAATAAATTGATAGAGAATGATTTTAGAAAATTTTAGGAAAAAAAATCATCAATTATCATGTTATACGTTTACAAATAGAAAAACATGCATGCCTTTATCACAAAACAGCGAGTGCTCCTGTGGTAACGCACCAACAAGTCTTGCAACAGGTCGCGGGTTCGAATCTCCCTGCGTGCGCTATTTTTTGGCAAAAAAAAGGGAGGCGGATGCAGGTCCACCTCGTCCGTGTGGGCCACGCTGCCCCACTTGTTCACCGCCACGTCCTCAGGCTAAGACCCGCTAGTGGGACCGCATCGCCACGTCTTCGAGGTTGGGACCCAATGGTGGGACCACATCGCCATGTCCTCGAGGTGGGACCTGCTGGTGGGACCACGGCGACATGTCCTCGAGGTGGTACACGAGCCAAACGATCTATGATGATTTAGTTTTGTTGTTTTATGACGATTCTTTTATTTTCGTCATTATTCTTCGTGCCAAAGCTCCGTCACTTGTTACTTATGACGAAGCTGGAAATTTCGTCATAGAAAGCGCTTGTTCTGTGATGAAATTTGTAAGTGTCACGACTGAATTGTCATTGATGAACACATTTCTAGTAGTGTTAAGACCCAAAAAGCAAAGTTTGCAGAAACAAACACTGAGTAAAACTGGTCAAACTATGATCAACCTATGCATCCGCGGCTACGGTGTCTTTGCTCACCAGCGTAATTAGAGTTTTTTTTCTGCACCTGGGCTTTTTTGGCCTTAGCCATGGAAAGAGTTGGTACGCATTTAAGAGTCTATCCACCTAGCAAAAAATTCTCTATGCCGGACCCCCTTTCATGTTTACAACTAGGAGCTAGGGTTGCGGAAACAAACTCTGAGTATAACTGGTTGGACTACGAGAGACCTACACCTCGGTGGCTATGGCGCTTGTGCTCACCAGCATAATCAATATTTGCTCACCCGCACCTCGAGCTTTATGACCATAATGATGAAAAGGGTCGTCGTGCACTAACCTTTTTATACAAAAAGGGGAGAAGAGCTAAAAAGTTGTTTTGCTATAACAAAATTTAAGAACTTGTCCATTTATTACAAGTTCGCCGCCTAGCTTATCTGCCTAACTAAGTTTTTAGTCGGGATGTTCTCATCCCATACCTCCGCAGGTAAGTCTTAACCCATTGAGTAACACATGCCGATCAAACGGCTTGACCGCTACCGAGAAATGGGTAGGGGCAGTAGGACACCCCACGCGGGTTATGCCGACCCCATCACAAACGACAGACCCAGATTCCACTCGATCATATCCAAAAAGAGCTCCCTGAACCCATCACTCGTACCATCGTGGTAAATCCTATACCTAGGTCAATCAAACGGCTCAAAGCCGCTGCCGAGAGACAGGTCACCCTTACTTTACACTCATTAATTTCGCTACCGAGCCTCCGACCCTAGCAACGGCGAGGGGTCGGGCCTCGCTCGAAGGTTGGCAAGAGTGTCTATTCGGTATACATTCTCTATTCTCGATTCCTCCTCATGTTAAAAAACTACAGGTAGGGTGTGCGGAGACAAGTACTGAGTAAAGCTAGTCGGACTACAAGAGACCTATGCCCCGATGGCTACGGTGTCTTTGCTGACCAACATGATTAGAGTTATTGTCTACACACCTCGACCTTAAGTCTCCACCTTCTCGGGAAGGGTTTGGAATTGCCCACCTACAGAATCTCCATCGAGAAGAGGCCGACAGGTTGCCCAGGTCGATCGCATGGCTCGGGTCGCTGTCAAGAGATGGATAGGGAGTACTGGGATGCCTCATGCAGGTTACATCGGCTTCATCACGGACGTCGGACCCGGACCCCACACGGACATATCCGGTAAGAGCTCCCTGAACCCGTCACTCAAGCCATCGAGGTAACTTTACCGACCCCCGCCTTTCTTTTCCATTGCATGATCATTCATTCATCCATTCTCATGCATGCATTCATACATTCATTCATTCATTCGTTCGTTCATTCATCCTTTTATCCATACATTCATCCCATACATCCAAGCATTGCAAATGCAATTATTGCATCACAACGCTTCGCGTCGCTTCACGAAGCGGTAGTCATCTCAATCGATATGAGCGGCGACCAACTGAGGTTTGAAGGCCAACCCATGAAGGGCTTGAGGCCGCCTCGCATCAAACAGAGCCAGGGGAGAAAAACCGAGATGAGCCCCAATGACATTGCCTGACCCCGCTCAGAAGTGAACAGGGACATCTCGACCTTTCTCATTCATTCCTCACCTCGAGGCAAGCCCATAGAATCTCCATCGAGAAGAGGCCCATGGGCCACCCAAGGCCATCGAATGGCTTGGGCATCAGCCAAGAGGCGAGTTAAGGAGTAGTGGAATGCCACATGAGGTCTCTACCGACCCCATCAGCGAATGATGGACCTAGATTCCACTTGAACGTGCCCATTAGC